GCATAAAGTTTGTTCAAAACAAACAAAATCTAAAAGCTAAATCGCACATCAAACTGCCCCCTAGCGCATCCAGCAACATACTGCTCTGAGATTCAGTGCGAATTTGCCCTTTTTGTTAAGCATCACACACATGAGCTACTTAGGTGTTAGTGACTAAGTCTTTTACCTGGTAGTGGGTAATGTAATCTATAAATACTGTATAATAATAATAATAAGAGAAGTGGCCATCCTCAGTGATAGCAGAATGTAACTGGTATATGCCTGATACATTCATATCATCTGGGGACCAAAGACAGTGCCAGATGCTGCTGTCAAAATACAGTATCTGGCACTACTGATACATCCATGTTTGCTGAATACCTTGGATGGAGAAATCTGTTCTAAAACCCAACATGTATGGACAGGATCATTCAGTACACTAATAAATAACTCTAAGCCTGAGGCCCAAACAGAAGATGCTATCTATGCAGAGTGCCCAAATAAACTTGACAGTTTATATTCACCAGTGCTGGATTAAATTCTGCAGAGACCCCTAGGCAGTCAAAACCTTGAGCCCCTCTCAGGTTTCTGAAGGTTTTTTGTGCATGCGTTCTAGTGGGATAACATAAGTAATGTGCATATCGGCTCGTATATAAAGATGACCATCACTGCTGTACATTACACTACTATACATTACACGTACAGTACATAGGTGGCACAAATTTTTTTCTAAACTGACAGCTGAAAGAAGATGAGCTTTTACACCCCGCTCATATCAAAGCCGATTTTGAAATCGTGCGACTTACAGTGAAGTTGCACGATTTCAAAGTCGGGGGACGTGCCGATTTTCCTTGCGGTTTGCAAGACATCTGACACATAAGTCTATGCAAATCGCAACAAAAGTAGTACATTCACTAATTTAGAAATCGGTGCGACTCCGACCAAGTCGGAAACGCACCGATATGACCACAGACAATAGGGTGCGACTTGGCATACGATTTGCAAGTTGCCTGGCATGCAAATCATATGCCAAATCGCACCCGATGTGACTGGGTGCTTAAGAGACAAACTGTAATATGAACCTGATGCCTATGGTTTATGCACTTTAATTTGTTATGAAGTACATTATATTAATACAGCATTTTCTCTATGAGGTATTTAATGTAAATTTTGCATTTCTTTGGGATGATTCATTTTTCCTCTCTTGCAAACTATTTAGGAAAGCTTCATTGGAATTTTCTTTCAATATCAAATCAATATTATTTTGATCCGTTGTTGCAGGGCCCTTAACTCCCTGGCGGTATTCCCGAGTGTAGCTCGGGGTAAATTTCAGTATCAAGAGCGGTAACCCCGAGCTACACTCGGGCTTACCATGCGGCGTTGCTCAGGGAGTCCCTGCAGCGCTTACATTGTCCTTTGCTCCCGCGATGTGTCCCCTGCAGCGTCCCCGGCCATCTCCTCCGGCCGATGCCGGCATCCGGCTTCGTGTTCCGGTCCCTGTGACGTCGGGACGTACGGGCGCCGGAACCGGCGGCAAATTTGAAATTTTTAAAAAATGTCATTTTTTTAAAAGTTATTATTATATAGTAAAACATTGCTGTTTCAATGCATTTCACATATATTTTGTCCCTACTGCTTTGTCCTGCACCCTGCCTACATTTTGACTGTTGTTTCTGCCTGGAAACTTAGAAAAGTCCATGGCGTCCAAAAAGCCTCCCTTTATGTCAAAAGCGATTTTAGACCAGTTAGAGAACAGCGATAGTAAATCATAACCACTTGCAGAATTGAGTGATAATGATTTGTGGGGAAATTCGTCATTAGACACTGAAAACGATTTTGCGACTTTGCCCAGCGATGTGCGAATTTGCCTCTGTATTTCAAATTTCAGTGTTTTTGGTTTGATTATATTATTGAATTAAATTTATTATTATTATATTATTATTATTTTTTATGATTATTAATTAAATTATAATTTATGATTTCGTGTTTCAAGTTTTATCATATCCGGGATGTTTACTAGACTTCTGTTTGGACAGATTTCAGTGAGTTATTCCTAAAAATTACAGCCTACAATAAAAAACTACATATTTCCATGCAAAAAAATGGTACCGCTTTCAGCACCAAAAATCGGAAATAATCATACCGCCAGGGAGGTTAAATGGTGTGGGCCCATAGGCGGAGCCTACTCTGCCTATTTGGTAAATCGGCACTGATATACACATATAGGCACAATTTGACAAATAAATAACTGACATAACAGCAGTTACATGGACTATACAATAATCCAGAATAGGACTTGCCTTTTAAGGGCAGGAATTCCTAACTACTCATAGTTCACAGACTAAGAATACCAAAGTTAATAGGAAAGTGTCCTCATTATTGGCTGTAAGCCACCATAAATAAAAAAAAGTCTCAAACATTAGCCCAATGATAAAAGTTCAATATATACTATATTTATTATGAAAATCAGCAGCAAACAGAGAGCTTGTGATGAGCCAGTCCCTCAATCAGAGTACTATTGTCAGCCCATTCTCTGCTGCACTTAAGCCCTTCCTGCAGACTGTACACATATATGTGTCCTCACAGATCTGGACTCTTTTTCCATGGGGCCACATATATGTGTACTTGTCTTTGTGTTGACAGCTCACTGCCACCACAAAGACCAGGCTGTCACTGGGAGCCCCGAGTACCGTAATAACGGTCGGGACCCGGTATTCCAGATTCTGGATACCTCTGTATGGCTATCACAGTACTCAGTCACTGTGCAGCCTGTGCCCCTTTAGTTTTTTTTTTTCTCTGAATAGGAGAGAGATACATTGTATTTCTCTCTTATTGCAGAGAGAAAGTAAACAAAGGTGTGTAAAATATAATAAAAACAAAAATTATTTTTTAAAAAAGAAAGAAAGAAATACCTAGATGATTAGATCTAGGTCAGCGCCAGGGTTAGTGCTAGAGTCAAAGGCCAGGGACAAAGGTCAGGGTCAGTAAATTTTGCACAGGGTTTTTTTTTTTCAAAAGCATTTTTAAAATTATTGGCAGTGTCAGTTAATGTCATTGTCAGTGAATTTCAGGTAGGATAAAAAAAAAATCTAAATGTGTACTATTGTTTCTGGGCCTTACTACAGGTACAAACAACAAATAACATACATATATGTGGAATCACTGTGATCGTCAGGTGCAGGAGAATTTATATTGGGTTAGTGTTTTTTTACTTTGGTGGTAGGCTAGGTAGTAGCAAAAAATATACAGCTAAATTAAATAAAAATTATTTTTTTTTTTTTTTTATATTTTGGACCAGTTTTTCTTTGATGATAAAAAAAATCAGGAGATATCTGCTACCATTTACTACCAAAAGAAAGCCCAATTTGTCCTGAAAAAAAGTAGTTGCTATGATATGTACGATTTTACTAACACAGGTGAAAGTTGCTTTTTTTTTGTTTTGTTTTTTGCGTTTTTGTTTTACCCTTAGGTGTCCTTTTATGACACAGAGGTGTCCGTTTATGACACAGAGAATAGCTGCGATTCAACGGATCTCAGCTATTCTCTGGTCATTCACAGTTTATGACACTCAGGAGATCATGTCAGCCCTTCACTGGAGATCTGTGTTCTCCCTCCAGATTCTCCAGCCCAGAGCTGGAGAATCGGAGGGACTGCAAACTAAGCAGAGATAATTTACCTCTGCTTAGTAAACTGATCTTTTACTGTAATATCACGAGATTATAGTAAAATCAGCCGTTTTCCAGAGTTTGTAGACCGTTCTCCAGCGTTTGGAGACCGTTCTCCCTTCGTTCGGAGAACTGCTTCATAAACTGCATTCACAGGAGAACTGTGTTCTCCGAGAATGCCGGAGAACTGAGCAGCGATCTATTACCGCTGGTTCATAAACGGACACCAGAGAATAGCTGTGATTTAGAGGATCGCAGCTATTCTCTGGTCATTCACAGTTTATGACACTCAGGAGAACATGTTCAGTCCTTCTCTGGAGATCTGTGTTCTCTCCCCCAGATTCTCCAGCTCAGAGCTGGAGAATCGGAGGGACCGCAAACTAAGCAGAGATAATTTACCTCTGTTTAGTAAACTGATCTTTTTCTGTAATATCACGAGATTATAGTAAAATCAGCCATTTTCCAGTGTTTGTAGACCGTTCTCCCTTCGTTTGGAGAACTGATCTACATATGCTTCATAAACGGCATTCACAGGAGAACTGTGTTCTCCGAGAATGCCGGAGAACTAAGCAGCGATCTAATACTGCTGGTTCATAAACGGACACCATAGTCACTAAGGGATTAAGAACCCTTCTCACTCTCAATATCTCCATAACACATGGTGGAGATGTTTTATAGAAGTGGAAGACAAGTGGGCACTGGGAGTGATTGACAGTGCTTGGAATTTTAGTGCAACAGAGTGCACAGGACATCAGAAGCTTGCTAAATTTCTGACAGGGTCAACATGTATTTTTATTGAAATGTTTTCAAAGGTGTCAAATATAATGTGCAGAGATGTACCTGTATCACACTTTGTTTTATTTTACACAAACATGCACTTTTAGAACACCAATACATTACGTAATGAGAAGTCCTACCTAAGCAATCCATTAAATTAATATCAAATTAGGCAGACCCTTGCACTTCATAGTTAGTAGGTGTTTGTAAAATCAGATGGATTGGAGAGGGAAGAATGATAATTTAACATTACCTAATGCATTTGACATAAAGCAACATATCCTGTCTACTTCAAGACAAAAAGCAAAGTCTCTGCTTAATTCTTAGCTTCTCTGTTTTTTTTTCTTTTCTTTTTGGCTCAGATTTTACATCTGCTTCAATGTGCCAAAAATTAATTTATACCAGTGACCACATTAATAACACTAAAAAGATCAAATCTAAATGTGAAAAATCTTTGTGTAAATATTGTTGCTGGTCGAAGAGAACTTGTTAACACAAGTAAATGTTCTCATTTTTTTTCCTGATGTGTTTTTTAAAGAGCTTTAGGAGATATATAATCATTTCAATGCTGTTTTCTAGGTTGAACCACTAATACAGAAGGGTCATGAGAGTCTGGTACATCACATACTACTATATGAATGTGAAAGAGATGCAAATGACAGTGTCCTTGAATATGGGCATGAATGCTATCACCCCAACATGCCTGATGTATTTCTTACATGTGAGACAGTACTATATGCTTGGGCTATTGGAGGAGAGGTAAGGTTTTATTTTCTGGCTGTGAATTTAGTACAACTGCACCAAACATATGAAAATTCAGATAATAGGCTATATTTCTTCAAAATCACAATGATTTTTTTCAGCATAAGATAGGAATCACATTTGTACTGAACTTTCTGTGAATATACACTCACTGGTCACTTTATTAAGTACACCTGTTCAATTGCTTGGTAACACAAATTGCTAGTCAGCCAATCATATGACAGCAACTCAATGCATTTAGGCATCTAGACATGGTGCAGACAACTTACTGAACTTCAAACCGAGAATCAGAATGGGGAAGAAAGGGGATTTAAGTGACTTTGAACATGGCATGGTTGTTGGTGTAGGCTGGTCTGAGTATTCCAAATACTGCTGATCTACTAGGTTGTTTTTGCACAACCATCTCTAGGGTTTACAGAGAATGGTCCAAAAACGAGAAAACATCCAGTGAGCAGCAGTTGTGTAGATGAAAATGCCATGTTGATGTCAGAGGTCAGAGGAGAATGGGCAGACTGGTTGTTGCTACAGATGGTAGGGTCAGAATTTAGCATAAACAACATGAAAGTATGGATCCATCCTGCCTTGTATCAATGGTTCAGGCTGGTGGTGTAATGGTGTGGGGGATATTTCTTGGCAATAGCAAAGTGTACCAAATAAGGTGGCTGGTGTGTGTATGATTACATTTAATATTCTCTTTGTTTTCTTACTATTTCATTAATTTAACCATTTACCCACCTGTAGTCCACTTTTAGATTGCAGTTTCCGTGTTTTTACTTACTATTTTTGCTCTTATACATTGAAACTGTTGCAGGGATTCACATATCCACCTAATGTTGGCTTGTCAATTGGGATGCCTGAAGACCCAACATATGTCTTAATGGAAATCCACTATGATAATCCATCTCACCAAGAAGGTAAGAAGACTTATCTAAATTTTTAAACAGACTGTAAACTCTAAGGCCCAGTTCACACTGGCATTGAAAGCAGGCGTTTGAGGGGCATTTTTAACATGCTCCTCAAAGGCCTATGCAAATGATACTATGGAAAGTATACCGTGCTGTTCATATTATCGAAACCTGAAGTGCTAGTGTCACATTGCTTCAAAATTGAAGCTTCATATCCTCTAGAGGAATTTGAAGTCTTTCAACACCTCCCATTCAAGTCTATGGTGACGCTCTGCAAATGCACCGGTAGGCGTTCGCGGGGCATTTGCAGTGTGGTTATATTTTATAATAGGCATTTGTGGTGCGGTTTTAACACTTGTGAAACACTGATAAAACACGCATAGGGTGTTTGAGGAGCATTTTTAAAGCTTGTAAAACGCCAGTCTAATGCCCATACTAAAGCTCATTAACACCTGTCTAATGTCCATACTAATGCTAAGGGAATGTTTGCTAAGAGTTGGAGATTTGGTCAAGTGTGAAAAAGCCCTAAGAGGCATATTTATGAGGGTTCTTCAAAAGGTTTCTGCACTATGTATATATGTATGTATAAACGTGAGGAAACTGTTTGAGGAGCCCTTGTATAAGTGCTGAATCTAAACTTCACTGAACATCCATTGCAGGTTGTTCCAGCTGCATGTGTCTTAAATTACTAGTTGATTCACAGTCAGTGAATGTTTGGTGAAAGTCACAATCGCTGCTTTATAAATGTGCCCCTCCCCTTAAGACTCCCCCTGACCCTGAACAGAGTTGCTGTCTCTGGAATTAAACGGAGTAACCTTTTTGACCTAGAATGGGTTCAGTGTTCACTGGTTTCATTTGCTGACTGGAATTGCTCCTTAAAGCTTTATAAACCCAAAAGCAAAACATTTATTATATTGCAGCTTACCAATTCTTAGATGTGATGCTAAATTAGTTTTCTTTTTTAGGTTTTCTTTCTTTTATTTACACTTGGTGATCCAGTCAGTAAATCTGTTGTTTTTCATCAGAACAAGCTGTCCTGCAGATGTGGCAATTAGAGAGTTGGACAAACTATTTAACCATTGACAGGGGTGTTTACAATAATCAGCCTTTATATATTTATATAAAAACTTTATTCCAATAAAAAAAAAACTGTTGCTGCAACTGCTTATAAAGTATTAGCTGCAGTTTTGTTTCGATTTGTTAGTGTATTTAAATCTGCTAATACATCTAATACCCCTTCCCCAGATTAAAAATGCTGCTGTTCAAAGGTATCTCTGTGCTCTTTCATCCAGAGCGTAGGTACTCTAATATACGAGGTGCATTACTGGCCAGATCACCGGGTAAAAACAGAGGGGAAAAAAGTCTAAAAAAAGAGAAAAGTAATGCAGCCACCAGATCTAATGATTGGTAAGCTGAATTATAATACATTTTTGGTTCTGGGTTTAATAGAGCTTTAAGCTTAAAGCAAACATGTGTGGCCACATTTTATTCCCAATGCTTGGCCCGGTTTAGTAGCATGTTCTTTTCTGTGATTGAAGGAAATCTTCAATCATATTTTCAATCAACCCCCAAATAGTTTCAAGGCTGTCTGTTCTGTGTTGTGAAGGTTATTTTGCAAAGGTAAAATGAAAATAAGACATTACCCTGTGTGCTGGAGATCCTCTAGGGCTGCCATATGATTGATTGACATAGTTCCCCATTTCTTGGGAAACATCGGGGGAAAAAACATCTTCACATGGGGATTCCCTATCCCATGCAATCTTTAAGAGACTCTAATGGAGAAAGACTGGCGCTTAGTTACGGGTGCACCAGTCAAAATTGAGGAATATTGTTGCTATTTAACTGTCTGATCTGCTGATCAAAATGTTGTTTTACACATTGAGAAGATAAAATGATGATGATTGTGTGTCCATCATTTATGGTGGTTCTATGAAGGAATTTATGCTCTGGTAAATGAAGTGAGTCTCATTCAGAGAAGGAAACTGGGTGAGAAATATAGTGCATAAAAGGTACACAGAAGTGGCTACACTGAGGGAAAAGTAGTGCAGTGTATAGACACTTTGCAGAAATGGCTACACCAAGAGAGCACATTACATCTCGCAGGAATGATGCAGGTTTGGGGAAAAAATAATTGCAGACAATATGGAAAGGAGGCATAGTTTCTTTGTACATGGGAAGACTTCATGAACATCATCTTACAAAGAGTTTCACAGCTGCTATCTATTGCTTGCTAAAGATCTTTGACATGACAACAGGCGCAACGAACGTACTTTATGCTAGCCACTATGCATAGGTACTGACAGTGTAACTAAAGGCAAAACTTTGCTTTTTTTTTAATGCAGAGGTTCTTCTAATACTCCCCTACGTTGCTGAAAATAAATAAATAATAAATAACTATTTGGGCTTTAGATAAATTCACATACTTTGGTTTTGACCAAACTTTATGTAAAAATAAGTATATTCTAAATACATAACATTTTAAGGCCGTCTCCAGATTCATCTTGCTTACAGCTGTATAGGATATTCAAGATATCTCTTGACCCCATATTCATTAAGCAATTGTGAAAGCTTCTTTCTTCCTTTGAAATTGGTAATGTCTGCGAATGTCACCAACAAAAAACAGAAAAGTTTTATCACTTGCATTGTGGTCACAAGTGATGAGGTTCGGGTTTGCTGCTAACATGGGTTCATGGTAGATCCGGCCTGTTTCAAATTCATGGTCCTGGTGAACCCTCTTATATTGAACTGTATTGTTGCTGTATTGTCTCCCTTTATATTCTAAAGTGCTGAGCAAACTGTTGGCACTCTATAAATCCTGTATAATAATAATAATATGTGAAGATTTGCCTAATCAAATTCTTTGTAACCATAATGCACTGCCTAGTCCTTGAAAATAGATCAGCTGGCTTAAGAAGGGACAATAATCGGGCATTGTTATGTGCCAGCCGCCTCCCTATAAAAGGGTGGATTTGTTTGCAGCACATCACTGTATACTTGTGCGGTAAAGTAGTGTGCACAAAAGTATCATATATTTATTCCCCCTTTTGCCATAGCTGCCTTTAATTTTTGCCCAAAGTGAAAGGCAGAGGCTCTACATACCAAGTTATAAGATGGTAAGCAGGTTCCGCAAGACAAAGTAGTGGTCAAGCCATACTATCTAGAGGTAGGTCACATCTGAATTTCCTATCTTAGAGTGACCATGCTACAGTAGAGAGCTTGCAAAGTATGCACTGGAGCTTCTGGGTTGCCCTGCAGCCAAAGTGCTGTCTGAGAGGTCCTTCCACACAACAGGGGGTTATTACAGAGAGATGAGTTTGCCTGTGCCTCATAGTGTGGACCAGGTCACTTTCAACAAAATTAACCAGTTTTTGATAATAACTCCTACTGTTGCAGATTTATCTTTTAATTGTCATCCACTACCCTCCCTAAAAAATTAAACCTACCAATATTACCAGCTCTTACCAATTATCCTTGCCCATTCTAGTGCTTTGGAACTGTGAAGATGTCATACAATGTTTTTCCAGATGGACCTCAGTTGCTAAATGTCTAATTTTGCTGCAGTGTAAATCCTGCATGTGTGGTCTATTCCAGTGCCCAGGGACTGTAAAGGTGTCATACAATGTTTCTGCAGCTGGACCTCAGCTGCCAAATTTCTAATGTTTGCTGCAAGAAAAATTCTATGTTGTGCCTCAATGTTTGTGACCTATTTCTACAGCTCTAAAAATGTTTATGACTATTTCCTCTCAGATAATACATGATAAAACTTACTGCATCTCTTTATCTTATATTGTGTCCTAACCAAGCTGCTAACATACAGTCCAGCCACTGAACAATATTTGTGGCTTTGTCTCACCCATAATACAATATTTCTATTGCAAGTTAAATCTTACCTTGTTTCTTTCTATTTGCTACCTATTCAACTACTGTCCCCACACAAGCCAGGGGGCTCAAGGAATTTGGGTTGTGGTTTTGAAGTGTTTTTGTACACATGAAATAAACAACACACTAAAATGTTACACAAAATCCCCCATTATTTGTGTACAAAGTGCAAAAAGTGACAAACATAAGCTGGGGTGGATTGACCATTCGAGCATTCGGGCACTGCCCAAGGGCCCTGGGTGAGTAGGGGGCCCCATGAAATGCCCCTGGTACCTTTTATAGGCTTTTTTGGGTGTGCTTTGAGTGGGGCAAGGACACAGGGGCCCCATGATCCAGTATTGCCCGGGGGCCCCATCAGTTGTCAGTCCGCCCCTGATCATGAGTCATATATATTGCTCAAAAATTCTAGCAGTTCCAATGAAACATAGAGAATGACTGAAAATGTCCAAAATTACAAACAACACCACATGAGTCTTCCAAGAACTTGTCTTCAGCAGTGTTCCCTTCACCACACTTAGGAAATGCACTTAACAAAAATACATGCCAACTATTAGTAAGTGCATTTCCTAAATGTGGTAAACGGAACACTGCTGTAGATTAATGTTATGTTTATTTGTGATTTTGGACTTTTTTGATAGTTCACTATATTTTGTTGTACCTGCTGGAATATCTGAGCATTATATATGGACTTATGCTTGTCACTTTTTAAATTTTACACAAATATTGGGGGATTTTGTTTTACATTTTAGTGTGTTATTTATTTAATTATATTATATTTAAATGCATGTATATTTTTTATTGAAAATTAGCTCTGTATATGTTGAGGATTTTGGTTATCCACGGTCTTCATATGATTGCACTTATTTGAGGGTTTTTTCTTAATATAGCAGCTAAATGGTATACATCTAATTTATCAAGCCATATATTTTGGGTGTTTTTTGGTTTGGGCCATAGCATGGAATAGTTCATCTACTGTATAGTAACACTCAGTGTTAGCTGGGACACAAAGGGACCTTAGTGGATTTTCTACTCTTAAGACAAGGATGAGTCAAAAAATGGGATGTAGAAGAAAAGAGAGAAGGGAAGGCATGCCAGGTGCAGTGTACAGGTTGCATTCACTAAGCCCAACT